AAACTTGAAAAATAAATCTATTTATGGCTTTAGTTTCCATTTTTATAAAGTTTATATAAATCCATGTTTTTCTTTTTTTTTTTTTTTTTTTTTTAAGTCAAGGCACTCTAAAAACACCTGTGCAATTCAAAGTCAACTTTAAGCAAAAATCAACATTTGGAAAAATTGCTTCTACTGATTTTCCTACACTTGATGAAACTTGTGTTTCCCAAGGAATAAGCACATCCCATTTTAATGGACTGGTGGATTTTCTACACGTGTTCGAATGCAAATCTCCTTGGTCACCTAAGGCTCCATGGTGGGCAAACAACCTAATGTGTCACCTTTCTGTACTGAAGATCACAATTTCTGATCTCAGCACTGTCTTCATTGCTGCAAGTAAAACAGTGGTACTGATGTTGCAACCTACGGGCTACTCTCTTCTGATAATGAATGGGTTGGGTTATTGGCCTCTGGTATGGACAAAAATATGACAATCAGCCTCCTCACTATATAAAAGTCGACAGCGAAGACAGTGCCAGACAACTTGCTGAGTACTAGAGCTCAAATATGTTCAGAAGTCAGAAAGCCCGTAGAACAAATCCTTTTTCTTCCTTACAATTGATAAAGTCACAGTCAATTTATTAAAAGTGTTTTAATACAGTGTTTCCATCATAGCAACTTGTATCTTCAGGAACTCATTTGCAAAACACAGCTTTAGCCTGCAAATGTTTTAGGTTCATTCCCTGCACATGTAACAGAGAGGCTGACCTTTCTTACATCTGCAGTTGTTAATTGTCATCATTGTAACAGCAAATGAAAACAAAGTTTAAGTCACTGGCACTTTAAAAAAACCCATCATATTAAATCTCGTTTACCTGGAGGAATAGAAATTCAAAGTCACGAGCAAAATCTGAAGACAGAGCAGACATGAGAAAGTGCACCCAACCGCAGGGTTTAGCAACTGCACCGAGACTCTCTTCTAGTGCATGTTCTGAAACAGTAATCGATTCTCTAAGCACTTGGTACCAAACTGGAAACATTTTTCTTCTACAACATTCTGAAAACTTTAAACAACTCATTTATGATTCTTTTCTTCCGAAGATTAACAGCACATCCACTAGAAGATTAATTGAAAATAAAATTTTAAAAAGGATAGCAGAAAGGGCAAAACAGAACAGACCAGGACAAACAACTCAAGCTATTTACAAATATTTTTATAATGACTAGAAATCATAGAGCCCTCTTTAGCTGTCTAACTTAAAAAACAGTAACAAAAAAACCAAAACAAAACCAAAAACAAACAAGCCAAAAAAATGCATCATCTGTTGACTGAACACAGGGCCTGATTTTCAAAGCTGCTGAGCACCCACAACTCCATCTGAAGTCAGTGGAAGTGATGAATGCCCAGCAGCTCTGCAAATCAGGCCCAAACTGTCCAGGGGTCTGCTAGGAGCCCAGCAGAAGTGGTGTTTAGAGAAGGGGTTTTGTTGCAGAAACGAGGAGGTTCAAAGTAATCTGTCAAAGAAGTGCTGCTACATTCATGAGTCGTAAAGCTAGCTGGCTCTCAGCTATGGGAAAAAAGTTAATTCATAGGGCTCATAGGGCTTGCATTTGTCAAGGAGCAGGACGTCAATGCTATCATTATCAGGCAAATCAGCCAGGCGTTTAATGGTAGAATCAGGAGACATTTGCTCTCCACTATCAGAATGACATCATAACTAAAGCAGCCTTCGGCGAGGGGGGAGAGCCGGGGCAAGGCTTGGGCTGCACGCACACTTTGCACTTCTGCTCGGCTCGCCCCACCGACCGCTGCTCCCCTTCCCCACGAGGCAACTTCCAGCTTTCAGCTGCCTTCACTCCACAACTTCGTCCTCGCAGCATCCGAAACACCAGCATCTGATTTTACAAAATACTCCTAAACCTGCCCGATCCAAAACTGTGATATTGTAACCCAGACACTCGGTTAGGAGGAGTTGGGTTTGACATGGAAGCTGCAAATTCACTCTTAAAATTTCTGGTATTTTTAATTACTTCAGTAATCTTCATTCTCCATCAAATGGGGGGGGGGGGGGGAATACACACACGTTAAAAAACTAGTTGCCTCTCTGATTTAAGAAGTAACAGTTCAGTTAACTAAGTCGATTTTTAAGCGTACACAAACACATACACAAACAATCTTTGAATATTCTGAAGTATTTAGTGATGATCTATTTGATGACCAGAAATATAACAGCAATACACATTTCCCTTCCACAGTAGCCATAATTATACAAGTCAAACAGCACGAATTACAAACTGCTAATCTATTTTCTTTAAAAATATCACTACAGGTATATAGGCACAGTACAAAAGCCTCACCTTGTATAACAACTGTGAGGGAAAAAGTTATGAAAGCAGACAGAAAACCTAAAATCCCTGAGGCTACAAAAAAATCCCGCTATTGAGAAATAACCCAAGAGACCACATAGGGAATGTACAGCTTTCAGAAGCACTTCTCATCTTATTTGCACTTAACCTATTGATGTACTTATGCAGGTCACTTACTTTTCGGATATGTTTGAACCCTTTATAATCATGCAGATCGCCGCGGTTTTCACTTGGGCTTTTGGTTTTTTGGTTTTGTTTGGTTTTTTGCAAACAAGTTTCATTTAAAAAAGATCCAATTATGCAAATCTGCTCCCGGATAGGTAGTGAATATTCAATATGATGGTGATACTGTAATAGTTCAATGCAACGCACTGTACTGGACAGATTTATGAGGACACGTCACTACTACGCTCTGGTCCTCGCTGAAGCATCTTGAAGTTAATTAAAGCTGCAATGTCCACTTTTTCAGCCACCCTCCTCATTCAGGTTTACTATTTCAACATCAAACCAGCGAGGGGGCCTCCCCCCTCTCCCCGTACATTTAAGCAGCCTTCCACAGTCAATGAACAATGAACAAAGATTTGAGCGATAGGAAGGGGGGGAGAGAAAAAAATCTCCACAGGAATAATCAAATCCGGTTTAAACAAGTAAAAATATAGTTTCTAATATTAAACTAGAAAAGAAAACATTCTTCTCCAAGCGAACGTGCAGAGGCGCTTAGCCAACCCCTTCAGAAAGGGTCTAAAAGCAGCCAGTCCTTTTTATTTCGAGCAGTGAATGAGCCCAAACAAGGCTTCTAAACTTAATTATGACACTTAAAATAGTCTTTTTCCACAGAAGCGGGGCGGCTCGCCGCCGCTATCTGTATCAGCCGGGCACATCAGCTCAGCAAACACGGCCCCTGTTGGATTTATTTTAAACTGCACGGGGGGGCGGGGGGCGGCGGGGGAATGCACAGCCCCGCAGAGCGCTCCCGCCGCGGGCGGCCGGGCAGCCGCGCCCGCCCCTGCCCCGCGCCCGCGGAGCGCCGCGCCCCGCACCGCACAGCCCCGCACCGCACCGCACAGCCCCGCACCGCCGGCTCAAGTGCGAACGGAGCCATCTGACAAATCACGTCCCCGCCTCGACACTGTATCAGCCGCGGCCACATCCGCCGCACGCACCCCGAAACAATGCCCGCCGCGCAGGCAGGCGGCGGCCGGAGCCCTCCCTGCCCGCCGCGCCCGCCCCGGGCAACCCGCACCCGCGCCCGCACCGCGCCCCCGCCGCGCCGGGGCACGCCGGCAACTAACTTTTCGGATGGAGCCCCGTGCGAGCCGCCCCGCGGGAGCCGCGGACCCCTCCGATAAACAGCGTAAATCTTCGCGACCTTTTTATTTTCGCGTTGAAGTTCACACACAGGCGGCAGCGCTCCCCCCCCCAGCCCCTCTCTCTCTGTCTCTCACACACACACACACACACACATATATATTAATTATTTGCAAAACTGCAACAGATGGGCGCATTAAAATCTGGATTCTTTCCTACACAGCATCAAAGAATCTCTCCTTCCTCCCCCTTCCACCCCGCCCGCTAATCCCGCTGCCGGCCCGGTGCCCCCCCCCGCCTCCCGCAGCCCCCGCGCCGGGGAGCGGGGCCACTGCCCCGCGCAGGCAGCGGCGCCCCCGCGGCCCTCCGCGCACTGCGCGCCGCCGGGAAGGTGATGCTCCCCCCCCTGCCCGCCGGGGATTGCCATTTAAGTTTCCTCCTTAACCTGTTACTTTCTCCGGGCGCTGACAAAAGCCCCGGCGGCGGGCTGGCAGGTGCCTCCTCGCTCCCCGCGGCGCCGCCGGGCGCTCTCCGCTCCCCCCCGAAAGGGCTGAGACCTGGCCTGACATTTAGTGCCTACTTGAATGTCACAACGCTCCTCGCAGCATTATGCACGGCTCCTATTCATAAGAGGTCGATTAGAGCACAAAATGGCAGGTCTCTTAGGCACTTGAATCTCACAAGTTTGACACATGGTATGCATCAGCTAACTTTGATTAAAAAAAAAAAAAAAAAAAAAGAAAAGAGGGGGGAGTTTACAAATTACACTACGATTAGCCGGGATCCTAACGGGGGAGGGAGGGAGGAAAGGGGGGGGGGGGGGGGGGCGCGTTTAAAGTCACTTCAGCAAAGTTTGCTCCGCAGCAACCCTTTAAAACAAAAAGTTTCTGGGCAAGTTAAGGGCAGGGTCGGTGCGGGCTGGGGCCGGCGGCGGGCAGCCCCCGGGCAGCGCCGCGGCCGCCGCCGGCACTCGCCTCCCCTCGCCTCGCTTCGCCCGCCCGCTCCTTTTTTGTAAAGTAACGGTTTTAAAAGAAACGAGAGAGAAAGAGGAAAAACGTAGGGTTTTCTTCAGGCTAAGTTCTATAGCGCCATTCAATGGCTTCTCCGCTCCTTTCATTATTTTCTGCTTTTCCCCTGACAGCCCTGCTTGCAAACGTCACTGCTATGGATATTTAATTATACTGTATTTTTTTAATCACGGTGGAAAACGCAGGCCCCATTGCGATGATTAAAAAGAAATAAAAAACAAAAACATACTCCGGACTGACTTTGGAGCCTCTTTGATGGCTCACGGGAGCCTCCCGGATCCTCAAAAACCCCCTTTTTACCTTTGTCTTTCTTACCTTAAAATTTAAAGCAAAGCGTAGAAGAAACTCCCGCACGTAAACGGAGCGTTGTAAAAGATTGTGTTCAATGAATAATGAAGCATGTCCACATGATTGACTTGATCATTTTCTTGTGCGGAGGGGGAAAAGTGCGGCGCGGGGCTGCCGCGGCCGCCCGCTCCGGGTAGCCCTCCCAACTGCTTCCAGCACATCCCGAGCAAAGAGCGCTTTATTTTAATCTGTCTCTTTTCAGAATAACCCCCTTCATTGATACTGATCACCCAACATCACAAGACATCCCCATCTCTCAGCGTGGACTCCCCCTATCTGGTAGGTGAAATGCATTGTACCATTAAAAAAGCACTCCATTGTCGTCTTGGCATAATTCACAGCAACTAGATAGGTCTTGCGGCATTTAGCTTTGATGAGCCAAAAGCTGAACCCTTGATATAATAATCTACAAAGAATGGTCTGTGATCGTCCATTTTTTCTCCCTGTCTAGCAACTAAGAAACCATTTAACACGGCGCAGCTTGGTCGTGACCTTGAGCGCGTGTAAACACCCCGAGGAGCCCGCGCCGCTCCGCAGCCCCCCGGCCAGCGCCGCTGCCCGCGCCCCGCGCAGCCCCCGCGCCCCGCGCAGCCCCCGCGCCCGCGCCCCGCCGCCCCTGCCCGCGCCCCGCAAACCCCGCCGAGCCCCCGGGGGCAGCGCCGGGCTCCACAAAGCGCCCTTCTTACCTGCTCCCGAAACTATGCAAAGTCTGTTTCTCCTAAAAAAAAAAAAAAAAAAAAAAAAAAAACACCAAAAAAAAAAACTCCCGGGGAAACCTTGGCGGACAGGGGGACCGGAGCATCAGTCACCGCTCCGGCGTTTAAGAGAAGTAATCAGCGATAAAGTGACGTTGATCTGCACTGTAACCTTGTGGCGTATTTAATGTAAATAAGCCAGTTATGTTGCCAATCGCATGCATACAAACACATAAAGGTCCTCAGCGTTGCATTTTGATTCTTTCCATTAGAGCCGACTTTATTTACATACACTATTTAGGGGATCATGATAATTCTAAAACAATACTAGTGCCAAATGATTATGAAAATATGATTTTAATTAATCACGTAGTAGGCAAGGAAATTAGCATACGGTAATTAAACTTAGAGAAAAACGTCATGGAGGTTCTCTGCCTTATGGGTTCGGAATAATCATTAAACGATGGGTTTTCAGGACTTAATTATCAAACAAATAACTTTTTTAAAGCAACTTTACACGGTTTATCCGCAGGGCAACGATTTAGTAAATAATATATAACCAAGCAAACAAGGTGCAAATGTGACTGGTGAAATAGGTTGTGTTTCTACAAAGCAGAAGGGGGGGGGGAAGCTGAATAATGCAATTATGGATTCTGTGTCCCATAGTTGACAAAAGCATGGTGCCTCAATAGACTCTTTGTTATGGGATTATATAATGATTGTGGTGTAATTATGGGAAAAAAGATTTAGTAATAATAAAAAGTATCAAAATACACCAATGAGCAGCTTGTTTTAAAGAAAAGGCTTGCATGTGACATTAGGGGCATGTTAATAACAAAAAGCCAGGATCCGAAAGGGTTGACAAATAAAAAAGACTGTGATGCGCATGATTAAGAAGCGATGGAGACAGATTGATTATTCAAAATGCCGAGCCACAGGGACACTTAAAACATTGATTCAGGTAAGACTAGTTTCATCTTGACTGAAATGAGTTCCCTGAAGATGACTGGCATACATTTTAAATCAGTTTACTACATAAAAAGCATAACATCACAAGCTGAAACCTTCCAGTTAAAATAGGAGTCCATGAGAGAAAAAAAAAAAAGTTTATGTTTGTGGCAATTCCCAGAGGGACTATGGAATTGCAGAGGAAGGAGTATAGATTAATTAGCTCTTCCTAAACACTGGACTTTAATGTGCCCATCTTTTATAATCCCTAGCCTCTGTTTCTGGAGTCTGTGGTCCAATCCCACTTCTGCAGGTTATGGGGGTTATATTAATAACCCTAAAGATACAATAGGACTTTTTTTTTTTTTCTGGAACTACAGTGAATTAACTTTCATAATAACTGAAAAATTAGCGACATTTTTGGAATTGATATTTGAAGTGAAGTTTATAAATAGTTGTTCAGAGCTATTCAATGTTAAAAAAAAAAAAAAGAGAGAGAGAGAAAGAAAGAAAAAAGATTCCCATGCCTATACGAAAAAGTTTAGGAATTCACTCTGCATTTTCCAATTTGATGTGTCTGAAATTCTCTTTGAACAAATTCCAAAATACAAGTTTTTTCTATAGAAATTAGCATAGCAATCACATCAATAATATCACTATCTCTATGGGAATGATAACTGGAGCAGTGGGGGTGTTCTTTATTTCAATTCTTCGTGGATCAACTGATTATATTCTGTCTTCTTTTGAACTTGTTATTGTAAGTCAAGTGATTCTTTATAAGTGACAGCCCTGACAAAGAGACGAGGATGGGAAAGCAGGTCGAAAGGAAGTCGCCATATGGACTTTAAAAAAGGCACTTTTTAAACAAGATAATGGGGAAATGGATGTTGCCTTTTAACCCTGTCAAGGCTGAACATTATTAGCAGTCTCATAAAAGAATGAGCTATACCTTTCTTTAAAAATATCAAATTTCACCTTACAATTTCCATGACCTAGGGCTACATAATACAAACCACATAGGAGGAGATGGCATTTCAGAGGCAGGGGCCAAATCAAGCACCTGGAATCAGTGACAGACAGGAGATTTCAGAGCACTGCACAAAGAGTTACAGAAAAATGAGAGCTCAGGAAAAGCCCATGGTTCTTTTTCCTGAGACAAAGATAAGAATATTGACTAGAGATAGGTGAAACAGCAACTGACAGCAGAGGAGCTTGAGACATCTAACTGGGATTTCCTCTTCCTCTAGAGTAAGTGCATGATGCTCATTTAGAGACAACAGATCGAGTGAAAACAAGCATGAACATGAGGGCTTTGACTCTGATCTTTGCAGAAATTAAAGTCTTTCTCCTCCTCTTTCTGTTCTGGAGAGAACAGGAATTTCCCTCCAGAAACTTTCAAGTGGACAGAGATTAAGAACCATCTCCTAGGAAACTGGGATTAAGTACTAAACCCTCACTGAGATGAAGGCAGAGCTGTGGTCCAGCACCAGTGAATCACCTATCAGATTTACTTTTTTTTTTTTTTTGTAGTCAGTTGGATGGTGCAGGTGATCATCCAGTTCAACTCTACAGGAAGAAAATGTCAACCAAAGCCTTCTCAAAATCTGGAAGAGTGGGCTACTACGTGCAGGCAATGGTGGTGTCAGGGGAGGATGCTGTTAACAAGACTGATCAAAACTCTCTTCCCCAGGCCCTCACAGACACGATTATTTGGGCTGGGGTGACCATGCCTTCCCAAAATGGATAACGAAGAGATAACGCAGATCCATGAGCTGAGTACATCCTAAAGCCAAGAGACCTCCAAATTTTATTGATCCAAAAAAATTGAGCTCCAACACCAAAGCAATGAATACTGGATAGATGAGGTTCAGAAGGTCTCAGTTGTGAGCTCAGGGAGACTTTGCTCAAGCCTCTTTCAGAATTCATCATATTCCCAGACACCATCAACACTTCTGCAGTTCCCTCCAGTATTCCTTCCTATTTCTCCCTATATTTTCAGTGCTGTTCCTTTCTTCTTTTCTTGTATCTGAGGAAAGGTCTTTTCTCTTCAAAGCCTTTACATCCTCTCAGCTGTCTCCAGCTAACTCTCCAAATTCTTTGGTTGATTTTATTCCCTTCTGTACCTCCTCCATGAGAAGGCAGGACTATACTGCCTCTTTAAAACTAGGCAGAAACACTACAGAGGGAAAGAGCAGAAGAGATGTACATTGTGTGCCTTATTCTGAAAGGCACTTGCACTGTCTTGGAGCATAGTGGGCACCTTCTCAGGGAGGAGAACCTATCAGCCACAGACTTGTCAAACTTCAAAAAGCAGGAAGAGAGGAAATGAAAGCTGAGTTCTTTAGCCAGGCAACATTACCCTTCCCCATGATTTCTACCTTTGTGGAATGACAGCCTTCCAGAAGATCTCATTTCAGGCAGAGATAAATAACAGGGAAGAATATCCCAAATCTCCCAAGTTTGGTAAGTCCAGCAAAAGCCCAGGTTGGAGGAATATTTTATGAGGCTTTACACAGGAAGGTAGCAAAAGACAACTGGTCAATACAGTAATTTACACAATGGGTGGGGGAGAACATTAGCTTTATATATTTAAATATTTATAAGTTGTTTGCTTTATAAGGAAGGACCGAGGAATAATCCTGCCTTTGTTCTTAAAAAGTGTGATCAGCATTTCCTTCCTAAAGAGAAGTGATAAGTAACTGGGCATTCTTTTAACAAAGATGCAGAAGCCCATTGAAAGCTTAATGCCTTTAGGAGGGGGTCTCTTCTTCAAGGAAGAGCAGAACATTGTGTCTTTAATATTGATAAGGAAAGGCATATAAAAGAAATCATCCAATAGTGGTGACTTTAAATAAGGAATTTCAGAAAACTTGCAGTGAATGTTTCAGCAAACTCTGGTGTGATCTACATGGCAGTCTGAGCCAGTGAAAACACAAGTCATCCAGCAAGAAGGTTGCTGAAGCATGGTTCAAGAAGACATAAATAAAACACTTCTGCAGGAAAAAGGGAAAACCTCAAAATGCCTGTTACAAACATGGGGTTTTCCTGGGCAGAACCCCAGCAAACTGACAAGGTGGATGGAGGTTTTCCCAGCTGTACAGACTGTAAGAAAACTTCCTGGAAAAGGGACTCAGAGATCCCAGCTTTCAAAAACAGACCAGAGGCAGAACCCATTTGAGAACAACCTATTTTGCAGGGACCATGACCAAAATAAGTATCTCTTTATAGACTTGATTAGCAAAAATTGTATATGCCATCATCATAGGGTAGAGGTATCAGAAATTGTAAAAAATATGGGATTTTTTTCAGGAGATAAATCTACATCTTCAGTGCAGTAGTCATCTATCACTGAGCCTGACAGCACAGACAACTTGCACGGGTCAACTAAAAGCATATACTAAGGCCAGGAGACTGTGTTGGCCACTTCTTGTGATAAAGTCATTGCAACAATTCATCAAAACACAGCCACCAAGAAAGGACCCCAAAGAGAGTACAAAATAGGACATATCTTCCCACAACAGGAAGATGTGCAATGGAAGCAGCATCTGAAGTCGGGTCACTGTGGAGGTGCACCTCCCTCTCACAGCACTGGCAGTGCTGACCCTTTTCCTTTGCAAAATAAGGGCAAAACTGGAATGAAGAGAGAAAGTCCTTCAAGGTATTATGGACTGACAGACTGATACGTGGCTTTAGAGCTTTCTATGGACAAAAGTGGTCACCTCTGTG